ATTCAGTTGTATGGATATGACTGTAACACTGGGTTTCAAACTAATATCCATACGACTGAATATATATATTGTTTTACAAATATTTACTGTAAAGCTTATTTCATGTACATATCTAAAGACTTTCTATAACTCCACTATATGTTTTTAACTATTTCACCCAAGGCATGGAAATATAGCCACTAAGACTCACTCAGTTACTGAATGCAATAGAATATAAAAAAAAAAACTATTAAGGAAAGAGAACAATAAAATAATCGGAATTAAGAAGACAGAAAATAATGATTGACATTGTATTTAAAATTTTGAAGATCAAAGTACTTCCAGTGTACACATGAGGATATAATAATAAAATTAATATGTAATTAATAGGGACCCCCACTAAAACGAAATACCTAATGTTCAAAATTTTAAAAAACTGAAAAATCTTTCTTGAAGCTTTTATTTTAGCTTTAATTTCAAGCTAAGAGATTAAATTTAATATTTCCAATAAGCAAAATACTTTGCTGTACTTAAAAAAAAAAAAAAAAAAAAAAAATTAAATTGACTGGAAAAAAGGATTTTTCCCTTTTTTCTAAAATAGCTGAATAGCAGCTTTTTTGTAGTCGTCTTTCATCGCAATGTAATTCTCTTAATTAAAAACCTCCCAAAAATAAAATATATTCTTCTGAGACTTTATTTGAAGAATATTAGCTGAAATTCAAGTATAATTAATCTGATTTGAAAAAAAAGAGTATTTACTGTAAGTGTAAAATAACACAGAAATGACATTTAAAACAAACAGTAATTGTGTTTTTAATCGACAGTAGCCATGTTTACATGATTGGTGAGCGATAAAAAGTGTTCAAACCTTTATTGTTGTTCTACGGAGACCTTATCTGTTGGAATATAATTTAAGAAAATGATGGGTGAGCACATTTTTATATAATTTTTAAGTACACACTTATCTTAAGAATGTTGGAAAATATTCACTGTATTCTAATTTTAGGAATGTTGACTTTAAATTTACTATAGCCATCACTCTTATTTTCTGATAATGTCGTGTATGGTTCGCCGTAATTTAAAATACACATAAAAAAATAAATAAATATTATTTTAAAAATTTTGGTGTAAAAAGATTGTATTAAGCTTTTCAATTTTTGATTAATAAATACAGTTTTCACTTAATAACAATATCACCCAACACAATTAAAGTAATGCAGAATTTTAAAAGATTTATATAAAAATTATTATAATAAATGATTATAATTAAAATTTATAACGAACTGAAAACAATTATTGTAAAAATTTATTACTCATCGAAATTTTTTTCTTACAATAGTGTCCGTAAGAAATGAATTATGTCTTAAGAAATAAAAGCTTAAAAATAAAAGCTTTTCTAATTAAATAATGTCATAGTTTTAATTCATTTTTTATTTTTATTTTAAATTCGGAGCAGATTTTCGGGAAATGAGTAGTAGTTTGTAAACAAAAATTGAGATTTACTTTCTCCAAGAAGTTCTGTTTTTAAATAATAAAGTAAATTTTGCGAGTAATATTTAATTTCACGAAATTTTATGAAATTAAGTATGTGGTGTGTGTGTTGGGGGGAGAAACATATGTAAAAAAAAAATTTTTACCAATATTTAAAAAAAAAAATTCGAAAATAATTTAATTCATTTGTGAATAAGTCCTGAATGTTTCATTAAAATCTGACAATTATTTGATTTCTGCAAAAATCACTAAATGTTTTTCACCGGAAAAAAGGCGCTAAAATCTAATTGTAAATATTAGATCGAACGCTGATGCAAAAAAAAAAAAAAATACAATATTTTTTTTACTAAAATTTCGAGAAATAATAAAAAAATAGTTTGGTCTTGCCTCAAACAAACATATTTTTTTTTTATTAAGTTTGGAGCCTTTTTTTTTCCATCATGCTATGACGTTTATTTGTCACCGTCGTTTTCAACATATGAAAGTCTTTCAGTTCAGTTTTTTTGGTTTATCTTGCGTATGAGACAACAATCCTACACGGGATTTGCAAACACGAATCCACACGAGGAACATGCCGAAAGGTTGACCGTCAAATACACTGATGTATTGGTCCGAGATTTAGTGTTAATTTTTAATTCTCTCAGGTGGATGAGACGATTCTTTTCAAAGTTAGTTATACCTCGGTAGCAGGTGTTTCTCCAGTTTGCTCGGTTTTCAACAGCCAGTTTGAACTCCTCTCTAGGGATATTTGCAGCATTTTAATTGTATTTGAGTTTGTCCTTTAAACGTAACCAAGGACGGCCTACATTACGCTTACCATGAAATATATTATTATATATATATATATACGCTGAAATAAACAAACACTGAAATATTTTTAAAAAATCCTACACGTTAAAAGTGCTCAATTTCAAGTAGGAAAATCAAACTTGCAGAGCGATTTAATATTTTAAAAAGATAAAAACGCTGACCGTCAAGGTCTCGTCACGTCGTTTTTTCAGCGAATAAACCACCTGACGAGACCTTGGCGGTCGATACCACGGTAAAGTTTCGGTCAGTGTTTTTATATTTTATATATATATATATATATATATATATATATATATATATATGTGTGTGTGTGTGTGTGTATTAGCCATAAGAGACATATTAGTAACGTTTGAAAAATTATTATTAGTACTTCGCTGGGAATAACTCAACATGCCGCGTGTGTCGATTAAAGCGCAGTAAACGTTCCAGTCTCATCCGTCACATGTAAACCCACAAGCTAGCTGATGAGGCATTGCAAAACAGGCCAGGCTCTTTACAGAACAGTTTAGTTTGCCGCGTTTGCAAGTAAGCATTTTAGGCCACTTGTTGGCTTCAAGAGCTATTGCCGTTCTCACGAAAACTAAAACCATGAATCAAAATTGTCAGCAATGGTCATCCTATATGTATGCGTGTATATCGTTCCAATGTTCTTCAAGCATAACTTCTTCCAGTAGAGTCGTTTAGAAAGCATACACGGACTGAAATTAGTTTGATTTTGTTTAGCGGCATATCAACACCTCTATGGGTTATTTAATGCCGGGATCTAAGTATTTTGAACATAGTTTTATAGTTTCATCTGTAGATAAAATGTATTGTTGGTTATTTTGGTATAAAACCTATTGTTCCCAATTCTGCTATAAATATATATGGTTGGTATTTTTACTATAAAATGTATTTTTATACTTTAATAGTGTTTGAGGAGGTTCACTATTTGCCCATAACTGGGGCTCTAACAGGTGTTACCATTCCAGGTCAGGGTGGATCTGAGAACTACAGTAGTTAATAGGTCCTTCCATGTTACTCAAAACCTACAGTCTCCCGATCAGAGGCCTTGCTGCCGGATGTAGTTTATCGTCATACCCAGCACACCGAAATTCGTTTGAATCAGTTCAAGTTGTAGGCATTAGAATATCGCAGTTGGAACTTGAGACACACTCTTGAGTTCATAATGCCCAGAATGGAAACTAAGAATTAATAAAATCTCTTGAAACGCATCGCCATGAATTACTTTTATTTTTTGCATCTTTAATTTTCTCTCCCTGATCTCACTGAATATGTCTCTCTTTGTTAAGCGAGACAAATATTCAGAGAGATTCATGTTGAGTATCTATTATATGTCTAGTGCTTGCATTCAAACTTACACTCGACTAATTAATCGATATTTAATTCGATTTCAATAGACAAATGCTCAATAGAAAAGAACGGACGAAAACTCAGAAAGATGTATTGGAATTGAATAACATTTATCGATCTCACCTCCCAGGAGAATCTCAAGTTCTCTCAAAGTTCAAACTCTTCTTGAGTCTTAAAATGAAACTCAGTAAGATTTAGACTCGTGGCTGAGGTAGTTGTGCATTGCACACTGGTTTCAGCAGTCGGTGTTTGAATACTGATTTTACAGACAAGCAGGCGGGTTCCACTTTCTTTTTCTTTTCATGTGCCGTGTCCCTTCAGGACGTAGGCGATCATGACTCTCCAATTTCCGGTTATCCGTTGTAGCTCTCAATAAGTTTCGTCCCTTTGACACCTCCTCCAGATCACGTTCTGCTATCCACTTGCTTAAGCCTGCCAGGTATTTCATACGTTGCTTTCTCTCGTCTCTCTTTCCCTCTATTCGACCTGTGAGTATTAGATGCTCCAAGCCCTCATTTCTCATTACGTGCCCCAGAAACTTCAGCTGCATCTTCCTAAGTAGCCACAGCATCGTTTTCACATTATTTGTTGCCGTAACTATTATCTTAATCGATCAAAGTTTATTCATTAGGTCCTCACTGATTGCTTCCTTATTATGGCCTTGCGCCAGACTTAATTATACAGGATTAATAACCATAATCAATGTTATTAATGCAGATAATAGATGCCATGGGGATGAAGGAGTAACTTATTTCTCAATGTTGCTGTTGGTCGGGGTTCGAGTCTAGACAAAGTTATAATTTCTTGATCTTTTCAAGGCAGGAAGGCAGTCCTCAATTACGAAAGTGGTTTATTACAAAAAACTCTCCACCCTTCCGCTTGTGTCAGACGAAACGAAACTTAGTCATTATCAACCAACCTTGCAGCTCTACAAGAGGAGGCGGTGAAAACTAGAGAAACATTAAATGCCTTAACGAGTCGAAAGCCCTGAAGTTGTGTTGTCGGTTTTGCTTCACGGTGGAGTTGTGTGTTAGTCGATCTTTACGATTTAACAGAAATTATAAAGAAGACTTAATTGAGCTCGAAATAAAAAAAAGAAGACTTTTGACTTTAAAAGACAAACGAAAAATAAATTCAGGATCCTTTTTTGATTTCTGAGAAAACAACATTGGACCTTTGAGCGGGTATCTGTGCCTACCCGTGCCACAAACCTCTAGATTTTTTCCTCACGTCGAACATTTATCTTTGTTCTATTTCTAAAAATAGCGAAACCCTGGAATCTTGTGTTGGTTGTACACCTTTTCTGAAGATTGCAATTGTTCAATTGTTGTGGCGGTGGCGGCGGTCAAAGAGTCCGGGGGGTGCTTTCAGATAAGCGTGAAGAGTGGATGGGCATTATTGAAGAGGGAGAGATTGATAGATAAATAGATAGATAGATAGATAGAAAGAAAGAAGAAGACGAAGAAGAAGAAACACAAAAACACAGAAAATGAACCTGAGAAAGAGAGAGAAAACATAGGAAAAAAGAGAGAGATCAAAAAAATGAGAGCGAGAAAGAAGATAGAAGAAGAGAGAGAGAGAGAGAGAGAGAGAGAGAGAGAGAGAGAGAGAGAGACGGACGGGGTAGTGGAGATAAAGCCTGAATATTGAGCAGATAAAGTGAGAGAGAAACGTAGACAGAGAGTCAAAGAGAGTGAGAGAACGAGAATGAATGAGAAAGAGAGAGAAATGAACAAAGAATAAGGAAGAGAGAGAGAGAGAGAGGGTGGGAGGAGATAGAATAAGAGAGATTGGACAGAGAGCCAAGCAAAGGAGAGGAAAGTAGAATGAAGTAGAGAGGGAGAGGACAGATAATCAGATAGAAAGAGAGAGCTACAGAGTGTGAAGATATATGAAAAAAGTAAGAGAAAGAAGTAGAGAGAAAACTAAAAAGAGACAGACAGAAATACAAATCTGAGAGAGGTATATAGAGAGAAATGGAAAGAAGTGGAGAGTAAACACAACAAGAAGTGTGTGTGAGAGAGAGAGGGAGAGAGAGAGTAGTAAATAGAGAAACAAACAAGACACACACGCACACAGAAACGAACTCTAGATAGATAGATAAACCTCATAGAAAAAGAGACAGAAAAGTAGACAGAGAATTAGAGAAGGGAGAGAGAGAGAGAGAGAGAGAGTGGGAGGAAGTGTATGAAAAAAACCTAAGTGAGAGAGAGAATTGAGGAGAAAACTAGAGAGACAGAAATACCGAGAACAAAATTGCGAGAGAAGACGTAGGGAAAAACCAAAGTGAGAGAGACAAGTAGAGTGAAAGAGACATAGTCAGAAATACAAAGAATAAAATTGAGGGAAACAGAACGAGAAGTGGAGAGTAAATTAGAGGGGTGAAGAGAGGGAGAGAGAGTAGAAAAGTAAAGGACCAAACAAAGGAGAGAGAGAGACAGAAAGAGAGAAACGACAGAGAATAAAAAAGAAGATATATATATATATATATATATATATATATATAGAGAGAGAGAGAGGATATAAATATGGGAATGCGTGACATGTCTAAGAATTCTGAAAAGTGAAGAAGGAGCCAATGACGCCATTCTCTTTACTCATTATTCATTGTTATTCTTGTTCACTCTTAACTTTGCAGCCATTCCTTTAGACACCTGGAATAGCTACGTGGTTAGTAAGCTAATCTCCTACTCGGTGGTGGTGGGCATATACTAATGAAGCTTTGTACTGCGCAACTAAACTTTCTCGTCTTTATTTCCTTCAGCCTATCAAGTCCTATCTTCCATGATGCCTGACTTATCGCCTGACAGTTAAGTGTTCCAGATTTAAAAAAAAAAAAAAAAAAAAAAAAAGAAACGAAATAAAACGGCTCACTAGAATTAAAAAAATGAAAGAAATCTCACATACGAAGCTTCACAATTTGTTTATACTGTTCTGCGAGAAATTCCATTAAGACAATCGCAAAATAATATCAATGAAAAAATATTTCCTTATTCCGGATATATTTCTTCAGATTATTTTCTTCGTGATAAGTTCAATTTTTTAAATCATTTTAACCCCAAGCAAGGTGTTAGTGTCACTAAGACACAAGGAGTTATTGGGAGTGAAAGACAACAAGAAGGCGTTGGCAAGGCGAAAGAACAAGAAAAGAACAAAGTTTAGGAAGATAGATGACGAGTGACGTTGCATTTAAATTTTTGAAGTTTTTATGTGGCAGAGAAGCAAGAAAATGGAACAGAGCTCCACAGGTGAGAAGTGCGAGAGAATAAACTATTAGAATAAAACTTGCGGTTACATCTAGCTATTTAAACAGTAAAATGATGAGACCTAATTGCCAATCTAGTTGTACGCTTAAATTCACACAGTCGAAGTACCAACAACAACTGCCGTGAAAATATTTATAGAAAAAACAGAGGGAAGCCACGGCATGTCGGTGAGAAAGTGACTGAAATCGAGATGCCATGTCAGGACCTTCTTTGAATTTTGTCAAGAATCTAGAATTTATTAAATTTAACAAGTCTTTCCTCAGATTTCATGTTTGAAGCAAAGAAAATCAAAGATGGCGACACTTGTGTGGAAGAAGAACGAACGCCATGTTAATGCCATCACTTTACACTTGGAAAAGAAAACCGCACAGGCCATTACGCCAAAATCAAGTCACAAAAGAGGAGAATGGTGTAAAAATCGAATCTAAAATGTGTCCATCTTGATTTACAATATATATTTAAAAAAGGTATGGTTGTGTTATGATTTTTGTACAAAATGTTTCCTCAGTGTTCTTCACCATAAAACAAAACGGAAGAAATACAATATTAATAATGTCGACAATGCTTCATTTAATAAAAACCAACTCAATATTATATTACCATTACTAATACGACTAGCGGGAATAAAGCAAGTGAATTGATGAGAAAAGAAATCTGAGCTAAAAATGAATAATGCTTGCTGCATCTAATAAATATAAAATATTAGTGCCACAAAAACACTATCAGTTTAAATAAAGCAAGTGAAATTAAGATGAAAGAAATAATCTTTAAATATTAATAATGGTTGACAATGCTTCATTTAATAAAAAGCATCAACGTAATATTTCTGCTAATATGACTCGGGTAAAAAAAAAAAGCAAATTAAAATAAGATGAAAGAAAAGCTAATCAAACATTAATAATTTTTGACAATACACCCTTGTATAAATTAAATGAAACAAAACGAAACGAATAATTCTATTATTTACTTTTTTTCGTATTTTTCCAATGAAACATGACTCAGTGCACATGTTAGTACTTCGTATGTCCATTCCACGAAGTCATTCATTGCAGGTTGACCGCAGATTCTCGACTGGATTTAAATCAAGAGAGTTTCCGGGCCAGTCTATAGTACTTCGATTTGCTCATTGGTACGGCTTGCCATTGTGTTTGTGCAGCGTTACAAATTTTCGTACATTTTCTTGGAGTAACGTCCATCGCAGACAATGGTCGCAGGAGAACTAATCGACAGTCGAGACAATAGTGTCTGGGCGTGATAAAACTCTACACCCCGAAAATAGAAAATTTCAGAGTATTAAAGTTGATAGGTATTTGTTTAGTAGACAAATCTATTGCTCTGGCTATTCTCGATCCTGTAGGTTTGATATTGAAATTGAGGCGAAATAACGAAAAAGAAAAAGGTAAAATAGAAGTTAAAATTTATTTGATACAAGATGCAGAAGAAACACCTTCCACATAACAGTAAGATATTAGCTACAGGTCCCGAGAGAAATACCCCCCCCCCCAATTATAATGGTAAGTCATTAGCTAGATGAAGATACCATTGTCACTTGCCTAAGTCTACTATTATCACACAGTATACACCTGGTAGGTATTTCTACCGCATTCTGTGTAACAATATGTTCATCTCTTGATGTTTGCGGTTATTATCAAGAAAAAGAAGTTTTTTTTAATATGCATCTCTGTATTATAGACCAAACATCACATATAATAAGTGGTAGGGAATTCCCTGATGCCTACAGTTGCTAGCTTTGTACTTCAAAATGATTTTATTTAGTATTTACGTAGCTTAGCTTCGTATAATAAAAAAAATAAAATAGTAGAAAATTTGAGATAAGAAGAATATATTATGCCCCATTATTCTGTCCGTCTTTAAAATCAACGTTCGAAATTCTACACAGCTTTATTCCAAAGGTAACGTGACACTGTTTACTAAATACACTGTATTATTCATTATATATATATATATATATATATATATATATATTTGAACCATTCTTGATGCGACTCATTGGTATTCAGTAAGACTGTAAACCAATGGCCAAGATGATTGATTCAATTTGGTGAACATCGGCGTAAGGGGGCCAGAAAGAGGACATTGCACCGAACAAAAAAGGTCAAAGCTCGGGTTCATACGGGTTTGACATTTAGATTACGGGGTGAAATGTCGACCGGATGGAAGGGAGGATTTTATAATCGACTCTTATTTCCTCACTTTTGGAAAGGTGGTTGATCATGGAAGAAATTATTTTATTCACATTTCGTACTGTGAGTACGCGTATAACTTGAGACTTTTGACAGCATTAGCAGTTTGAGGAAGTAAACAATCCGATTTAGTCATAAAAATGTTAAAATTGATTCTTTTTACTTTGAACAGAATTTTTTAGAAGTTCGACCAATGATTTCGGAAGAAATGAGACTTGATAGAGTCCAAAAGCGTCCCAGCGTCTACGTGGATGAAGAATTATTCCCCACCCTCTAATCTCTCTGCCACAGGCGGGATGTAGCAAGCCTACCGCTGTTTTATGGCTACTTCCACGGAAAGTGTTCGGACGAACTACATTCCCTGGTATCACCAATTCAAAGCTTCACGACAAGGACTCGCCATGCCACTTATATAGTAGCAAACTACCCACATCCCCTCCGTATTTCGTTGGCGAGAAGTAAGTTCCACTCAAACAGCTTCTTCCCGCAACCCACAGCTCTGTGGAACCGACTCTCAAGAGGGTGTTTCCACGATCACTACACTCTTGTTGTTCAAGGCTAGGGTTAACCGTTATCTTCCACTCCTATCCGCACAAATTGCCTCCTAAATGTAACACTCTACATCGAGTGGCTCCCGGGCCTTGTAAAGCGTAGACATTATTGTAAATAATTGTTTTAAAAAAAATGGAATAATAACCTCGAAGAAGAAATTTCCGCAAGCTCTTTAAGAATGTGCGTCATTTGCCTAAATGCCGACACAAGATTTAGAGACGGGGAAAACAGGGGGTGTCATGCCACAGATTCAAATGATCAGCTTAAAGTGTTTATGGAATTAAATATGCGCCAAATTATTCGAGGAATGGGTTCTAAAATTAAATGTTTCAATTTTCGGATATCTGAAGTAAATTGTAAAAGAAAGAAAATATTGACAATTGGTTAACACATGGATTCAGAAAATTATCATGAAACATCGCTGTTGCGAAATAAGCTGGATGAAAACGCCGAATTGTGGATGAAAAATGCTGTCGCATCAACTGATTCATTGGATAGTAACCTAAAACAAACATGGACCCTGAACGACAAACAGAAACGGCCGAGGCATTGACGAACTATCATGAAGCAGCAAAGCATTTTCCGAAGTCATTGTTTGCCCAACAAAAGATTATGGTTACCGAATGTTAGACTGTGGTAGTTAGGGTCCTCTACAATTTTCTCCTACACGAAAGGAATATCACTATTAAAATTAGCCGTCACGTTTTAGAAGCAATGCATAGAAATTGTATGAAATAAGGAAGACATTATTCAAACGCTCCATGAAAATGCTCGGCCGCCATATTGCACAAATGATAAAAGCTCAATGCATCATATTTTGAAGGTTTGCCTCTTCATTTCCCAAGTTTGTCAATAACGGATTTTCATTTTTTTTTTCAAACATTTAATTGCAAAAGGAACCTAAAGGCTTCCTTAACTGAGAAGATACTGACGAAGACTTTTTGGAATCGATATCCCCCAAATTCTACCCTAAATTTAAAAAAATCATCTCTCCCTATAGATGTAAATATCTCATATTTCTACTAAAAATGTGGAACAAAATTTTTGTCGAATACTCTTCACATTCTAGCATTTGCTGCGAGGGCTTTCGAAAGAACGATTTACTGAAATTTCTCATCAAAATTTGGTGCATTTTATTAATGTTGGCTTAGTCTGCCACAAAATCACAGGAATAGGATTCTTACTGAAAATCAAACTCACGTTTTTATGTGTGATAAATTTATGGTTGGTTTAAATAGTTACAAAACCAAAAAAATCAACTTTAAACTCGAGTCATGTTCTTAAATAGCCTCATCAGATCGAGACTTTCATATGGATGGCATGCATGGCACCAAAACCGTTCAGAAATATCGAAACTCTCAGCTGTATACAACCACTTGGCTTTGGTTTGGTTTGTTTTACGGCATATCAACCTCAATGGAATACTTAATACCGAAAAGATTTTTGTTGATGTTAATAAGTTTAACAAAAACGTATTGCTGGTAATTTTTTTTTTCAAAAATGTATTGCTGGTAAAAATTTTTTCAAAAAAAGTATTGCTGGTATTAAAACCTATTTTTATACTTTCATAGTTTTTTGATCCCTTTTTTTAGGTGGGGGGGTAAAAATTTACCCACAGCTGGGACACTGACAGGTGCTACCACCCAAGACCAAGATGGACCTGGGAACAGCAGCAATTAAGAGGTGGTTTCACTCTCCTCAAAACCTCCTGATCAGATTGTTGTCGGATGTAGCTTATCGTCTTACCCAGGACGACAACCACTTCCTCAGATTAAGGGTGAAAAAAAGGCTTTGAGCGAGAGAAGCCTGAGATTTTTGGCAAAATTCATACTTCTTTGAATATTGTGGATTGGTCTTACAAAAACACAAAGAACAGTACCAAATAACAGAAACCCCATCACATAAGGACTAACAACAGCAACAACAACTAAAATGGATGTCACATGTAACTCAAAGAGAAAATAATGACATAATCAAGATGTTGACATTCCACACTACTTCAAATAAAAGATGAAGAAAATCCCATCAATACAGGAAAGATCGAGCACAGTTACTGTACTTAAGAAACCTATTTTTGTGAAAAATTGTTTTTTGAGAAATATTTTATAAACTCCAACCAAAAGTATTGCTGCTTACTCGGTCAGTGAATGTCAATTTTTTTTTATTTGTAGGGACATGATTAGTAAGCAAACCGCTTGACCGGTCATGTAATCTTTAACAGCCAAACAGTGAAGCCGATTCAGTAGTGAAGTCAATTTTGGGGATCTAGAAGAGACATGAAGAGAAGATGATTCATTGACACGTGGGGAGAGCGTAACTTCTTGCAACATGGTCTGCTGTATTTGTAATTAAGTACACACGTCTTGTAAAATTCGCACGCTTTTCTTCTCTGGTAACACATTTCTACGCTTTGATAGCATGTACTCTTTCTAGAAAATGAAACCTTTATGTACTTTCTTCCGTCTTCGCCCAAGCCACCTTCAATTTTTATTCTTGATGTTGGGAAAAATATCTCTACATAAGGAAAATTTCTACTAAGGCCGCGCTCATATATTTGGTCAATCCAACATTACAAATCAGGTTTGGTTTGGTTTGTTTTACGGTATATCAACCTCAATGAGTTATTTAATGCCGACAAGATTTTTATTGCTGGTAATATTTATTTTCCAAAAATGTATTGCTGGTAATATTTTTTTCTTAAAAAATGTATTGCTGGTAATATTTTTTTTCTTCAAAAATTCATTGCTGGTAATATATTTTTTCTTCAAAAATTCATTGCTGGTAATATATTTTTTCTTCAAAAATTCATTGCTGGTAATATTTTTTTCTTCAAAAATTCATTGCTGGTAATATACTTTTTCTTCAAAAATTCATTGCTGGTAATATTTTTTTGCGGGTAATAATTTTTCCTGAAAAATTAATTGCTGGTATTAAAACGTATTTTTACACTTTCATAGTATTTTGACCCCAGTTTGGGGGTTAACTATTTGTTCACAGCTGGGACCCTAACAGGTGCTACCACCCCGGGTCAGGGTGGACCTGGGAACACCAGCAATTAAGAGGTGGTTCCACGCTCCTCAAAACCTCCTGATCAGAGGCCTTGCTGTCGGATGTAGTTTATCGTCTTACCCAGGACGTGGATAAAGTTTATCGTCATACCCAGGACGGATTACTAATCAGAGAGATAAGCTTAATTGTATGACAAATCTCTGCGGTGCTAAGTTATTTTAACCTCTATTGTTAAAACCTTAATTCCTTATTAGTAACAGACTCCATAGGTTGCGTGTCAACAATTCAAGTTTTCTTTTATTTACACTCGGACTAATATCCTCATCTTTTTTTTTTTATTATTATCACAATATTTCAGACATTGTGCTCTCGGGTCTTCTTCAGGACTGTCGATCTGGGTAACCTTCAGGGTATTTTCGGATAGATTAGTTCTGCTCTTCATGTTTACGGCTATCTTCTCTTCTTTTTTTTAAATACGGATCAGTTATTGACAATTCTGTTTCCACTGACACTAAATCTGTACTATCCGGTTATACACCGGTTCTTGGACGATCAACGAAGTTAGTACCTAGATAGCTGACTACTTGGGAATACTTGGTAACGTAAGCTTGGATGTGCGGGTGGTGTAATGGATATCGGCTCGGAATTGGAGAACGATGAGCAGAATTCCAATTCAACTCGGGCTCATTATATTCACTTACGCGCAAATACCTTCGGGAAAGGTATGAATACATATTTCCCCAGCTATGGGTTAATAAGTTGGATTTGTATCAGTAAATCATTATTATCTCCAAAACATTCCTATCATCTAAAAATATTTTCTGGATTTAAATAACATGCAAGAGGTTGATAAGCTGTAAAAAATCAATCGATGTACTATCCAGTCCAGAAAATAGACCAGATGATTAAAGTGTTGGTTCGTGAATTTGGTGGTATAGTAATTGTGAGCGAATAGAATATTGCTATGGCAAGGAACGACATGGTGGGTACCCATGTGGCTATCCAGCGCGGATCGAATGTTGCTATGGCAAGGAACTACTTGGTGGGTACACATGTGGCTATCCAGAGAGGATCGAATGTTGCTATGGCAAGGAACGACTTGGTGGGCGCCCATGTGGCTATCCAGAGCGCGTAAGGAAATGCGTTGCCTTTGCTTTTTTATCAGCTGCTTTTGTAAGCATTATTTTTTCTATTTCTTTATTATTGCCGTTTTTGATTAAAAAAAAATAGCAAAATACGTGGACAGCAGCAGCAGTTGTAGTAGTAGTAGTAGTAATACTAGTATCAGTAACGATATAGTTAGAGATATATTATACTTATCATTGTTATTTTAAATCATTGTCCTTTGTTTCTTTTGTTTATTATTAGTATTTTTTTTCTACGACCAGGTAGTCTTTATTTATTTATTTATTTATTTATTCAAAGACTGTTGGTATTTTCCTGTGGTTTCTTTTTATTGCATTTCTATCGTTGTCAGCCACGCCCCGCCTCGACGGATGCATGTGCATTTCACACTCTCCAACCAGTGCCAGTTCTCCTGCAGTATCCTACCCCACCCCCTAATTTTTTTGTCGAAAAACCTTCTGTTGAATCGAAGCTATTATTCCAACACCCCTCGACCCTCGATAGAGAGCAGTTTTTAAACTGTGCATTAAAAGTTCTCAAAATAAACTAATCTTTTAATGGAAGAGAGACAATCTTGGCGGCTAATCCTCAGGGTTTGTTTGATCCGGCCGTCACCTTCCAGAGGATGAAATCTGAACGCTGGGGGTGGGGGGAGTAGGATGGCGGATTGGCTGGCTCTCATGGCCTTCTCCAGTCGGAAACCGTTGCAACGAGAGGCACGAGCCCGGTACACAATTGGTATATGACTGCCTGTTCACGATGAAGAAGTCAGTATAGCGGATGGAAGGAGGGTGGAAAGGGAGGGGGGAAGAGAGTGGGGTGGGGAGATAAGAAAAGGAAAGAGAAAAAAAAAGCAGGACGAAACAAAGAGACGGGATAGAAGAACGTAATCCGCAAACATATTTTATTAAGCTCACCATTATTCTGAATTAATGAGGGAATATTAGTTAAGAAGATTGTAGCGCGTCAATTTTCCAAACGACGAGAGCCTGCTTCCTACGTAATACTGATAGTAGCGGAAATAGGCAAATATCCTACTCGCGAAAAGCAAAACAAAATTAGCGAGCAGAGTTCGAATACTGGCTTGGGCTACATGCGTTCTGTTCGAAATAATGCTTTTGAGAAAGGCATGGCTCTAATTCTCCCTGTGTATTTTCTTATCGCCAGATATTGTGAAAACAGTTTTGTAACGATGAATGACAGTGAAATTGATTAATATTTAGACACTCGAGCGAGGCATTTTTCGTATAACGATCAAAATGAAGAAAACAAAAAATAGAAACATTATTAATCTTAATGGGAACCAGACTTTAAATTTCCATTTTTGGAATAAAGTTATCAAAAATTAATTAAAAAAAATTTAAAAAGTCAATAAGGAAGGTTGAATAGACCTGGTACAAATAAAATTAACCCTATGAAAACTTGGATAGGAAAATTTTGTTATTCGGCCTTCGTATTTATATCAAGAGAAAAGGAATAGAGTAATGGAAGGACGGATGGAGAAAGTGAGGGATGACCAATAGATAGAGAAGGAAAGAAAGGTCGGACAGATGAAGAAAAGTGGACAGACAGAAGAGAGGAGGGGTACATAGATCGATGGATGTAGAAAAAGAAGTTGACGGAAGGTTGGAGAAAGAATTGGACAGGGAAGAGAAAACTGGAGGATAGAGAAAAAGTGGGTGGACGGACGGATAAAGAGTAGACGGATGGAGAAATGGAGGGTGGACGAACGGACGGATGGAGAAAGAGAGGGTGAGCAAACGGACAGATGGAGAAAGAGAGGGTGAGCAAACGGGCGGATGGAGAAAGAGAGGGTGAGCAAACGGATGGATGGAGAAATGGAGGGTGGACGAACGGACGGATGGAGAAAGAGAGGGTGAGCAAACGGACAGATGGAGAAAGAGAGGGTGAGCAAACGGACAGATGGAGAAAGAGAGGGTGAGCAAACGGGCGGATGGAGAAAGAGAGGGTAGGCAAACGGACGGATGGAGAAAGAGAGAGAGTAGGCAAACGGACGGACAGATGGAGAAAGAGAGGGTGAGCAAACGGACAGATGGAGTAAGAGAGGGTGAGCAAACGGACAGATGGAGAAAGAGGGCAGACGTATGGAGAGAGTTAGGGCAATCGGATGGACGGATGAAGAATGAAAGTGCGGGCTGACTTGGATTTTGACGGATGGAGAAAGAGAAGACGGGTGGACCGGCGGATGAAGAAAGGGAGGGCGAGAAGATGGGAAGAGTTAAGGTGGGAGGATTGACGGATGGACAGAGAGAGAGAGAGAGAGAGAGAGAGAGCGGGTGGGCAGGCGGATAGAGAGTGGGAGGTCGGGTGTATGTAAAGCGTTAGGATGAACAAATAGACAGATGGAGAAAGTGAACGTGGGCGGATTGACAGAAGCAGAAAAAGAGAGCGGAGGGATGAACAGATGGAGAAAGAGAGGGTGGAGGGATTGACGGATAGAAAAAAAAAAGGAGGGCGGACAGATAAATTGATGGAGAATGTGGATTACTGAACATGGAGAGATGAATATACAGCTCGGGGGAAGCAGGAATTTTTATGATCAGATAAAAAAATACACCAGATGTTTTGGTGGCCAAAGAAGCTAAGATGGAAGAATGTTTTCATTTTGTTGCTGTTATTATTAATGGTCAAGAGTAACGAAGAATGTTCAAAAATTTAAAAAATGTCATTGAAAGCCATTTTATAAACAAAGGATTCCAGGAAGTGATGAACGTTTCTGTGTAATTTGTTTGAATTGAGATTCGGAACTTAGACTGCTTTCTTTACATATGACCATAATAAAAGATAAGAAATAAAAAATTAATAACTTTTGCATTAAATAATACAAAAAGCGAAAACATTCATATATGTGTGTGTATATATATATATATATATATATATATATATATATATTGATGTAATAGGAAAGAAGAGTTAGATTAATGATCCAATGTCCTTTAGTATTTATGATTTTATTTAAAAAACAAAAAAATCAGTGCTCGCTACAGAAGTAGAGCTTAAATTATAATTATTTTTATTTAAAAAAAAATGATTCCCTTGCGACACAATCATATATTTAAAAAAAAAAATCATATTTAATACATATATATATATATGAAAAATTTCTCAAAGTTAACCTGTAGAAAAAGACAATAGGAAAACGCGTCCGCTAATAATGCAGTTTTCCTATTATCTTTTACCTTTACACACACATTATATATACGGCCATCCCGTCCAGTGCTTTCTACATTGTGTTGAGGATTCTTCTAGACTTGATGAATTACTATAAATGATTATTCAAATACCCTTACAATTGCTATCACTTTATATATATATATATATATATATATATATATATATATATATATATATATATATATATATATATATGTGTGTGTGTAAAAGACTTTTTTCGCTTTTTGTTATATATATATATATATATATATATATATATATATATATATATATATTTCCGTTTCTCTACGTCTACCCGCGATGTGTTAACAGCCATTACTGAATTTTCTGTCAAACTTTAGATAAGAAGGGCGAAGGCGTTCGACAGGGTTTTCTATGCTGACCTTATACACAAGCTTAAGAGTTACTGTCTCTCTAGACGAATATTTCGAATATTTCGCTAAATCCAATTGTTGCTAACAAATCCTGTAATGAAGTTAGTGTTGAATGGACACGTTTCAAGTTCATTTTCAGATTAATGCAGAGGTTCGCCAGGGCTATATCCTCGGACCTACGCCTTTTCTGTTCTTCATCAGCGACTCTAACCGATACAGTCATTCCCAACTAGGTATCCATTTACTACTGCCTTACACCTGTAGCAAGTTTGGCAAATGCGACAAAATGAAACTGGCAACTGCTCTCGGAAAGGGCCTTAAATCTGATGCTAATCTCCTGGAGAGCAACACTTTGCAATTTCTTGGGTTCACGATTTCCTCTAACATAAAGTGGGGTGATTATATTGAATCAATTTGCTAGGTTTACTGATAGGGTAGTTGGTACACTGTGTCTTCTAGTCAAAATCCATTTTGCACATTTATAAATCTACCATTCGTCGATGTATTGAATATTGTTGCCGTATCTGGTCTGGTGCTCCGACTATATATCTCAAGATTCTTGACAAGTTTTAAAGAAGTGTTTGCTTTGTAATAGATCTTGACTGGACATCTCGACTTCAGTCACTTTCTCACCGTCGTGATATGGCTTCCCTCTGTCTTTTCCACAAATATTCTCATAGCAATTGTTCTGATGAACTTTTATCTTTAGTGCTTCGATTGCATGGCTTTAAACGTGTTACTAGATTGGCAAAATAAGTCTCATCGTTTTACTGTTGAATTAGGTGGATGCAACCGACTGTCAGTTCTATTCTAATAGTTTCTTTTCTCGCACTTCTCACATGTGGAAGTTACTTCCGATTTCTTGCCTCTTAAAATCTTCAAAAGTTTAAATGCAATGTCAATCGCCATCTTCTGTCTTCCTCAATCCTGTTTCTTTATTTTCGCTTTTTGCATTATTTTAGGCAAAAATTAACAATTTTTATTATTAATTATTATTATCTCTTACTTATATTTTATGAATAGATGCGTATGGATATACGTTTTTATGTGTGCCTGTATTTATATTTTTATATGAATACGATTGAGTAAAGGTTAATATGTAGATAGAAATTGTAAAAAAATATTTGTATGTACCTTTATATATCTATATAAATATGGATGTATATACTTATATATTTAGTGTTGTGGGGCAGCAGATCATTATTTAAACATTTATTGTTAAATATAACAGACAACAAATGTCTATTAAGTTTGATCAGGAGCCGTTTTAAACTTCGTATATTTGCTTTAATTTCAGTTGAAAATAAAGACAAAAATTGTCCAACATTTTTGAGTGAATATTTCATGAACAGTTTTTTTTTCAGAATAACAATGATTTTTTTCAGATACAAGTTCTACTATTTAACCCATATCTGGCGGGGAGGTAAAGGATTCGTACCTCTCCTAAAGGTATTTGCGTGTATATAAATATAACAAACCCAACTAGAATTCTAAATCGGCTTACACCACCCGCACACCCCGGAATAGAAACTGATTTTTTTCTTGAAGTTAGAACAAAATTGAACAGCCAAAAACATTCGCTATTTTGCTGCAACAAAGATATATCCACAAAAAAACATTACATCACCTAATATAGATAGGCATCCTTTTATTTCGGGATATAGTTATAGCGCCCAGTTTGGTCAAAAATAAGTCGTTTGGGTGCAAGGTTTAAGTGACCTATCTCTCCAGGGCGCAGGCATAAGCAATGGTATATAATATAGATGTTTACTCTGTTTATTTTGGGACTATTGTCCATACGTTCCTTGTTGTTATCACAACATAATATAAATATATAAAAGTAATATAAATAGTGTAAATAATGATAACTCCTCATCACAGAAATACCATAGATAATATCTTTATTTTCTCAGTAATGCCTTTTCCCTGGTTTTTAATGTACACTGTGCGCGTAAAGTTGCTAAAACAAATTTTATATTATTTTTTTTAACTTCGTCTTTAATCATAATATTTGTTTTTGTGTAGAAAGTGGCCAACAGTAAGAGACGGAGTCTGGTAATTTTCAGTGGACAGGTATAATGAAAAAAACCTTTCATCGACTCACCTCAACTGGAGTCTTTATCGCTAAAATTTGTTCCTTTTCAATTCCTTTTAATGTATTTGTTTCATAAAAAGTACAAGAGTATCATAAAGGCCAATACAAGTTACGAGAATACAATTTTTTTTTATAGAAACACGAATGAAAATGGCAAAGAGATAAAAGTAAAACCTAATGAAAACCAGAAGAAATTCAATTGTAATTAATAATGATTAAATCAAAGTTTTATAGTCTTGTTTGGAAGAAGTTTCTGTATTTACACGGAGAGAGTGTGAGAGAATGAGGGTGTGAGAGAGAATGAGGGGGGGGGAGAGAGAAAGACAGACTGAGCTTTCAATGGACATGAGCGAAAGAAAATCAAAATCCCTGACATAATGAAGCAGATGAATCAATCATGTTATTCTTTGCAAAAAAAAAAAAAAAAAAAAAAAAAAAAAAAAAAAAAAAAAAAGAAAACGTATAAGTCTAGCAGAAAATAAAGAAGTGAGAAGATGGAAATTCATAGACGTCGAGAAATCTATTTTCTCCCGCGTTCTGACACGAGTTGTGACGTCAGCAGAAGAGAAAGAGAAAGAATCAAACTAAAGTTACCATGACAACAGCAGATAGTGAAATATGGTACAAACCGCGGGCCATCGTCGCAGCGGGCTTCATTACATTTTACTTATTGTTCATGAAGTTTTTTTTCGAGAGAGAAGGAGAGAGAGAGGGCGGGGTTACAGAAGAAACTAAAAAGATAAAAAACGTACAAATATGAAAAAAAGACGAAAGAATGAAAAGATGAAGTTGAAGAAGAAAGAATGAAAAAAAAAAAAAAAAGGACGAGGGACGAAAAAGAAGAAAAAAAATGGATGAAACAGTACAAAAAGATAATTATAGAATGAATAAAGAGAACGAAAGAATGAAAAAAAGACGACGAAAGAATGAAAAAAAGACGACGAAGTAGAAAGAATGAAAAAATACTAAAATGAAAGAAAAATAGGACGAAGACGAAATAATGAAAAAGAAAAAGACGAAGATGAAAGAATGGAAAAAAACTTAAAAATGAGAAAAAGAAAAAGAAGTAAAAAGAAAACAAAAATGGATCAAGACGTGCAGAGATATTTGGGTTATTTTGAGAGCCGAACCCCCGATTTTGAAATCATCTCAGAAACGAACGCTTCTTCGAACACGTGTTGAATACACGTGTGCCAAATTTCCAGCCAATGGACTTGGGGGCTCCGTGAATGAATAAACATTCATTGGTGTCTTGACTATTTCGGAGAATTCCAGTTTTAATGGTTTTTTTTTCTTCCATATAATGTTGGTTTGAAAAACAGAATCAGGTCAAATAGACCAGGCAAGATTCAATAGAGAAGAAAATTAATTTTCGTTGCCTGTTAAGATGCAATTTGGAGGCCAAGAAAAGACAAGCAGGTTTGACTTAGTGAAAATAAAATAATAAAAGAGAAATATTGATGGACAATTATTTACTGCAGGACAATGGCATTTGGGTTTTTCATTGGTCACTGCATGGATGAAGAAAGAAGTAGAAACAAAGAACACTGGGTGCATGATGAGAGCGTAATTTTGGTTCGAAGTAAGAAGGCCATAAATGGCAAAGAAAATAATAGAGGGAAAAGAAAACAATGGGAAAAAGAGGAGGGAAAAATCAGGTGGAACTGGAGAAAAGAAGGGGAGGAGGAGGAAGGAGGGAAACGGATGGGGGAGGGAAAGAGAGATGGAAGAAACCGAAGAAAAGAGACGAAAAGATGAAAAAGTGGTGGCGGTGGGAGATAGTGAAAGATATGATCGAAACAAGAAGAGAGAGAGGTTGAAATTTCGGAGGTAAAAGAAAGCGGGGGAGGGAAAGATGAAAATCCAAGAAGGAAGAGAGAGGAGGAGGAGGAGGAAAGAGGAAGAAACTAAGAGAAAGATAGGGAACGCTGAAAACGTCGTGGGTAGGGAGTGAATAATGAAAACAAGGAAGGAAGACGGGGGGAGATGAAGAGAAGAGGAAAATAGGGGGGTTGATGAAAAGAAACATTGTTGTTTTTTTACCGTTAAACTTTCTGTTCTTTTTACATGCTTATTAGATTTCAGTTCTTTATTTAGACGTCATATACATTTCCTTTTCAAAACAAAATTACATATTGGAATTTTTTAAATAGAGAATTATCATTAAAATATACTTCACCATTTAGACTAGTGTACTTATCTTGGTTCTCATATTCACAACGTTTCGGTAGTTGTACCAGCGGCATTCTTCAGGTGCTATGTAGCCTAGAAGAAATTTTGCGCCGGGACACTTTATTCAGTTCACTGGGCTGATTATTCTCATTCTGCTTTCGGTAAACTTGGATCTTCATGCCCCCACCCCCCAAAAATGCATTGTTAAAAGGACGGTTTTCCCTTTGGCACCGCTATTATTTTAACTACTTTCACTCCTCGGCAATGTTTATAGTTCTAAAAAAGCGATGATTAGAATTGTAATAAAAGCTAAATATATGATAAAAGGGAATTTATACATTATTTTTCTGTTCTTATGGTTTTTAAAAAAAAAAAAATATTAAACACTATTAGATTATTTGCAAAAATAATTTTTCTAAAAAGTAATGCAATGCCATATTTATCATTTACCAATTTATAAAGAAATAAATGTGAAAGCAATTTTTTATTCATAAATTTATAAAAATTTATTAAATTATTAAAATATGTGAACCAATTATAAAGAAATTCTTATTATTTACCATTTTATAAAGTTCGAATCAGTTGTCAATTTGGCGATGTTTTGCCAACCGTTCCAATAAATAAATAGTGTAAATAAACAATTTAATAAATAAATAGTGTGTATTATTTTAGTTGTCAGTTCTCAAGAATAGAGAAAATATATAAATTCACATTAATGTTTAGGCTATATTCCAATTACAATCACTGCTTTTTAAAACAATAAATATTGCTGAGGAGTAACGGCAGTTAAAATAAGATTGATGTCAATAGAAAAATGTTTCTTTTGACACTACGTCTTTTGCGGGCATGGAGGTCCAAGCTTTCAATGCTATGGGGAAATAACTCATATCAATTAGGGGAGATAACTCGTATCAGTTAATATTCACTCATCTTATTCACAGCACTAATAGATACGGTGATTCAACTCACAGTTGCTAGAAAACTAGAAATGTTTTAACCAACGGTTTAATCCACTAGAATCTTTTGGACAATTCAATGAAGTAATTTTGGACCCGCAATCATAATATCCGTAATGAAGTGGTAGAATTTTTGAGCTTCCATTCTTAATCAAACGTTTCCAGATGTCATTCTTCTTTATGTTAGTTCCACTGAAGTAATTTTCAATTCCTAGCATTTGCGTCAAGTTTTTCATCTGTTTTATTCTCTCGTATTATTTTCTGATTTTTATTCTGATTTAATTTCATAGGTGCTGATGACCACCCTTGTCTTTCCATATTGTCTTTCCTTGTCTTTTCGTACGTATGACATTGTTTTCTCCATAGATAAGCTTCTAAAAGAGTAAACGAATGAAGTAACAGACTCGATGATGTGAAAATAACGCGAAGAAGGAAACGAAAAAAAATATTTAGGAATAAGGTGCCTGATACAAGATAAAAGGTCTTAATAATTGGTTAGTGGTCGGAATATTTCTCAGTACGTAAGAAACAGGGGTCTTAATAAAAGTGAGGTCGGAAAATCATTTAGAAAGGGCGAAGTTCATTAACAGTGTTGTCTTAATACTCTCTGAGTATGATTAGAATATTTTCTCAAAATAGCACCTCGTTATTAAAACCTATGTGTAGGAGGTATGATTCCTTAAAAATCAGCATTCCAAAGTTTGACCTTTTATCGGGTCCCAATAATTGTTGCGACAATAAGAAATGCTTCAGCTACCGGTAAGCGACAAATGCATGTACAGAATTTTTTTTAATTGAGATTATTCTGGCAAAGAATTATATGAAGTAAGATCGTGCTGCGTCAGTCTTCCAAGACATTGGCAGAAAATCATGTAATTATCTCAGTTACAGGGTCGGGCACCTCGAGGCGGTATAATAGTTAGCTAGCTTGTCTTGCTAGGACAATTGCGATTGAGTAGTGAGTTCGATCCTAACTGGGTGCTCCATACATTCAGCCTTGTGCCAAATCTAAGCTACTCTTCGAAAACCACTATTTCAGTTACAGGGTAGGTCCGGAAATACTGCTTTTTTTATATCTACACCTGTGAGGAGTTGTATGTTTTTTGTGGGGGTGGGAGCTGAATTCTAGGTTAAGAGGTCTTTATATTTAGCGAGGAAAAGACGATTTTAGAAGTAGGTCAGACATAAAGACTCTCATTGAGAATGATGATCTTATTAACCTGTGCAGAATATAATCCTCCACACAGATACACACACGCGAACTCACACCTCAATGCATCTATCGGAACAACGAACAGAAACAGCTTGTCCAAAAAATTATCGTGCAATTATATGATTTTCTTCCGACTTCTTTTTCTATCGGGGAAATATGTGTGTGTATGTGAGGAGGCGGCGTGTTTTTCTTTTTCATTTTTATTATTCCTCTAAAAAGCCCTGGTGCTATATCGAAGACAAGAGAAAATGGCGGAAATGATGCCGTATTAGTAAGAGTAAATGATCGAGACAAAGATCTTTGATCTTCTTTCCCCCATGTCCTTCCCAACGGTTGCTGATCACTTCACCGTGTCAGTAACCCACATCTTCCACCCTGTTATAATTGCCCTAAAATCTCCCGAACCACGTACCGAAAGTACTGATCCGAAAATCGATTTATCGAACTCTGTCGAGTAAATGTAGTTAGGCCGAAGATATTAGTAAAGCATTTTCTTGGAATTTCATGGAACCAATAATCTTTCCTTGTTCTGCTTTTATTCTTAGAATTGTTTCGAACAAAGAAAGAAACAGTTCGAACGTTGAGTGGCGATTTCGTCTTTGCGTTTTTTTGTGCACAAGACAGTCACGATGCTAAAATAAATATTATTTGGAATAGGAATAGAGATAATTCCATGTACGCATGCGTCAGAGTCATAAGGACCAATTATCATCCGTATAATAATGACCCAATTTATCTGTCTTTATTATCATAACACAGTAAAAACAGCCCATCGTAGCTAAGTTTATGTTAGCGTAAAACCGTCAAAATGCAATTCACCAGTTCCCAAATACATTTTAATTGAGTATTAATTGACAACACTCAATCCTCCCAAATAAGATAACTCCGAATCTTCTAACTTAATTAAAAAATATGCTATGTCACTTCAGCGTGTTTCCCCAGAATACTTTTCTTTATTATCTGTGAATAGCAATACTTTCTTGGGAAATATATTGAAATCGTTTTCCGAAAGATTCTCCAGTGCTTGGAATGCCGAGTTTTTCTTCTCTTAGACTGTTTAATACTCAAGGCTAGAAAGCATTGTCTACCCTGCTATTTAACCCATATTTGATGGAAGAAGAGATAAATTCATGCCTTTCTGAAAGGCATTAGTCCAACTGTGAATGCAAGGGACTGGGCCGGGGGTGGAAATAAGTTTGGCGATTCTACCCTCCCGCGTCGATAGTCGTTGCACTAACACACGAATCAATTTATTTAACTTAATATCCTTCCTATTATTTTAATCAAAGAACTGTTTACATTGGTTTGTCTGTATACTTCACTAGCAGCCACAAAAGAATGCCAATGATGACACTTTTATAATAATAATAATAATAAAAATAATTATTTAGTAAATAAAAATAATAAATATTTAATAAATAACAATAATAATGAAAATAAATATTTAATAAATAATAATAAATATTTAATAAATAATAATAATAATAAAAATAAGTATTTAATAAATAATAATAATAAAAATAAATATTTAATAAATAATAATAAATATTTAATAAATAATAATAATAATAATAATAAATATTTAATAATAATAATAATAATAAATATTTAATAAATAATAATAATAATAAATATTTAATAAATAATAATAAATATCTAATAAATATTTAATAATAATAAATATTTAATAATAATAATAATAATGATGAAAATAAATAAAAAGTTTAAGGATTAATTGGGGCCGAGGAATTAAAATCAACAAAGTTTTACCGGAATGCGGATTGATGCCAGTAAATACGTAGTTCACTTTTTATATGAAAGAAAATATGTCAGTCGAGAACAAAATAAACGAGAAGAGATAAAAGGAATGGCCGATTCCAGACAGGGGAGTTTAAGCCAAGAGAGGGGACTTTACAAACACATGGGAAGAAATAGTCCGACCATCTTACAGAAGCAGGCTGTAGCCACGAACATTTCAAGCCGTGAAGACTAGACTGTATTAATGTTGTGTCTTCTACCATTTTGTTTTTCTCCACACCTCCACAAGTTCTTTTAAAGATGTTTGTATAAAATCAAATGACAAAGGACTATATTAAAATAACACTTATTGGTATAAAATAAATAAAAAATATATAAAAAAACGCGGTGAAGATGTTATCGCTGGGTTACCAAATGTAGTACGGCCTAGTTAATATCTGGGCATCGAAAGCCGGTAATTAACATAAACCTTTATGAGAATAAAGTAAAATAAAATAAAGACTTCAGAAGGACATAAATGAAGTTTTAATTTTCTAGAAAGCGAACATGCTGACAAAATATAGAAATATGTTACATGCCTTCTCCCCGACCCTGAAAAGGAAAGCTATTAGATATCACAAAAGCTGACTTTATTCAGATTTCTAGTACATTAACTGATAAGAGGCTGTGTATACCCACATGTCAGGAATGAGTTTCCTCTTTTTATATTGAAAACTATCCCTGTATAAACTGAGCTTGGCTGATTGACCGGTCAAGCTCAGTGCATACTAAATGAGGAGGAAGGAAAGTTAATCCAATATTATTACATATGGATTATTGCATTTCACGCTACCAACGCCGAAATTTTGAAAGGGCACATCACAACGTAAGATATGTCTCAAGTTGGAGCCGGTAGAAACCTAATGTCACGACACTTAAGTTATCGGAGGTCATTAAATTCGGAACTTAAATGTGTATTTAAAAACAACGATGTGAGTTCGAACTGCACAGACGTGTCAGTCGAGATCGGATACATGTATTTCCTATTGTAGCCAGGCAGTGACATCAATATATATATCGAGTGTCCTTTTAATAAACATGAAAATCTATCTGAAGATGAAATTGGAAAACATTTATCATTGACTTAGCATACCTTAGTTGATTTATTTTTTATTTTGAGAGACTATGTGTTTTGGAACAGTTTAAGAACCTATGCTTTTTCGACCCATGTATAGGGATTATTTGTATTAAATTCACATCAAATTGTTTTCGAAAATCCCAAAACTACCTTCGATAATGCATATCCAAACTAGTTATTTATACTGATGACAACTATTTACTCTTATCTTAGTAGAAAGTCTGATAGTCTGGCAGCTGCTCTCGAAAATGACCTCCAATCAGTGGTTAACTGGAGCAAGAAATGGCTCGTAAATGAAACTGCTATCATCTAATCACCACTATGAAAATTTCTCGGACATTCAGGCCGCTAAATGTTGTTAATACTGTTTATTATCAGCAGAGCATTTACTTAAATATTTGTATCTATAAAAACAGCGTATAAACATAAGTGTCTTAAAATAATTGTCGGACTTTGTCCATTTCATAATATATATATTAGAACAAAGTGGAATATATAAAAAGAAGTTGTCACGAAACATTAAGAACAACATTTTTCACAACTAAAATTTAGTGTCTGAACTCTATCGTATTGGGAGTTATTTTTAACTGACTAATCACCGGATTTTATACGATTGTGAATGAAAAATGAACTTTGGTCAATATCATCAACCATAAAACTATGTGGGCGCCCAGACTAACTTTACGTGCTAAGAAAATATAAAAGAAAAGAAAGATGTGAACTATTTACAAAGAAAATAAATCCGATTGTAACATGGACGAAAAGAAAGCAAACTGCTTATCAATTATTTTTAACTTCTGTCTGTTTGGTAAGAGACGTTTCACTCAATTATTCCTTGTCCTTATCAGCGTTTGGAACGTTAAAAAAAGTGTGCGGTTTTCGTTCGACCTGAGGAGACTATGAAGACGTTTTGAAGAAAACGCAACCTCGGCCCTAATGAGGAAGACAAAATGTATTTTAGCGTTGGATCAACCAACGGAGAAAAAAAACTAGGAGAAAAAGAAGAGTTAGAACTGAATCATTTTGATTCGAGTTTTAATTGCTTTTGCGAAAACGGCCGATCCGGCATTAACCAAAGATTTAAGTGTTATTGTCTATGCTGTATTTTTGTTCAAAATTAGTACATGTTATAGATAAGTTTACATTAGTCTGGCACAAGTTTGCAACAAAAGAGCATCCAGCTTATTAACCATCAGATGCTTCATGTTAATATTTTGTAACTGGGTTATCAAATTATCGGAATTGGTTTAACAATAAGTTTATTAACTTTTGGTACAGGGAAACAATGAAGATAATGTTTAGCTGTGAATGACTGTTTTCAGCAAAAGCTACTGCTGCTACTGCTACTCCTCTTGATGTGGGATTATTTTTATGTCTTTCGTCCGACGGCCAAGTCCAAACTTGTCTGACATAGAGCCACAATAATTGAGCAATTTATCTAAAAATATCACTTCCGTAATTATAGTTAAATTAGTGATATTTTCTAATGTGAGTTTCTTTTTGGCCAGTTTCAAGTTAATGGAGAGATGAGGGACAAAGACAACCCACTAACAATTGCCTGTGAGATTTGCTTGCTACCATCACTCTACGGTAGGAGCACGTACACATTTGAAAATATCTTTTTGCATTCTCTGAAAATATGCAAGCAGCCTCGACTCACATATACATCGAAACGAATAGATCCGTAGAGAGTAAGAGACGCACAAACAGGCAGGCAGAGTGAGATACTCTCATATGCAGAGCGAGGCACTTACAAACATACAAGTACACATACAGAGCGAGTGACGCATACAGACAAGTAGAGCAAGACACTCTCAGATAGGGTAACAGACACGCGCACTCAGGGGGAGGCATGCAGGTGCATTCATACATAGACACTCACACATCCAGAGCTAGATACGTACACACAGATGCGGGTGTGCAAGGCGAAATACATGCAGTTGAGGGTTGGGCATCTCGAGATGGTGTAATGGTTAGCGAGCTTGTCTCGCTAGAACAATTACAACTGAGTAGTGAGTTCGATCCTCACTGGGTGCCCTCTACTTTCGACCTTGTGCCACATCTAAGCTACGCTTGGAAAATCGCTACACGCACTTGAGAGAGCGACAAACAAAGCGAGACAGCAACATAGAAACAGACACACACACACACGAACACTGTAATGCATAAACAGGTCCACCTCCAAAGACAATACAAGTAATACACACCCGGATCGAGAACTGTTGAGATATATATATATATATATATATATATATATATATATATAGGAGGGAGAGAGAGGAGGAGAGAGAGAGGAGGGAGGGAGGGGAGAGAGAGGAGGGGGAGGGGGAGAGAGAGGGAGGGAGGGGGAGGGGGAGGGGAGGAGGGGAGAGAGAGGAGGGAGGGAGAGGAGGAGGGGGAGAGGAGGAGGGGGAGGGGGAGAGAGGAGGGAGGGGGGGGGGGAGAGAGGAGGAGGGAGGGGAGAGAGAGGAGGGGAGGGGGAGAGAGGAGGGAGGGGAGAGAGAGGAGGGAGGGCGAGAGAGAGAGAGAGAGCTAGACAAGCAGACACAGACTCGGAGACGAAAAGAGACTTTCCCTTTTTATGCTGTCCTCGCTGCGATTTACCTTCTGGTGAAATCATGATCTGTCAAACACGAGACACGACGTAAAGTTTTACTTGCCGACAAGTGAAAGAGACAATTTATTCTAAGTAAGCAAGCAAATCACTAAATAAATTGAAAAGAAATCATAAACAAAATAACAGAAACAAACAAAACAAAAAAACGAAAAGGAAAGATGATTACATGTCTGAAAAGGTCAACCTCTCTCTGCCGCTTACGTAACATCGACCATTAACCAAAAGAAAACGTTAAAAAGAAATTCAACATGACTGTTTAATGAAGAATCAGAAAACGGTTCTTCAAAGTTTGCGATCGTGGAGGTCTATCAACAAGTTTTATTAATGAACACATCTCAGAAAGGAAAGAAAAAAAACAAACAAACAAAAAACGGCAAGACACGATTTTCAATCTTCGTCTAGCAGCCATCTTGTGTAGAAGAATTTTTTGCAGTCAATTTTTTTCTGTCAACACGATCTTATTTCCATTAAAATTTCAGCTGACGTCGTTCAGAAGTAAAATAGATAAAATATAAGTAAAAAATATAACCCGACAAAAAAAATTGGGGGGCATTGGAGAAGATAGCCGCAGAGATGATTTGGATCCTTTATACAAAGTGGTCAGAAATTTGGGCCAATTAGTAGATATCAGTCATTTCGAATAGCCATCAAAATGTCTCATTTTTATAGCGAAGGTATTTGTTTTAAGGAAAGTGTAGGATAACTTTTGAAAAATAAAGGAGGGAATGTCGGATTTCTTACAGAAGAAAAGGTATAAAGTTTTACTTATATTACTCATCAAATAGTTTGCACCTACCGTGCTGATCACTCAGTAGCTTGTGATCACATCAATAGAGACTTTCTGTTCTCTTTCATTAGAAAGCCGTGTATGTCTGATGATGACCTAAAAACCGACACATTTCAAACTTCGTCTGGAGTATGGCCAAAGGCAACTGAGACTCCCAATCTGTTTAATCTTTCTTTAAACATGTGTTTCGTGTTTACAAGTATAGATGCGAAAGAAATGAATGTAGAACATTTGAAGATACCGTACTTCATCCCAAACGAATCCATCTTGAGTCCAGAGTACTGACAACAAATGTAGAGAGCTATACTTCTACTGTGGGTGCTCCTAGTCGGTATAAGAATGATTCAAACAAAAGAAAACCAATATTCTTTACCAAATATTCCAAGAAGTAATACTTCAGATAAACATTTCCAAAACTTGATCTGGACTTTAATGAAACTGGCGATGATAAAATGGATCCATGATAAAAATCCAGACTGTGCAATTGATAAATTATAAATATTTCAGTGTCTGGATTAGTCATAATAAACTTAGGTAGGGATGTTAAACAAAGAAGAATCTGCAATGTTTTTGGTCATGACCAGGCATCTTAGCTTCAGTTGCTGAAATGTAGCTTCTAAGTGCTTTTTCTATAAATACTATCGTGGTAATTATTCTGATGAACTTTCCCTCTTTGTTACCTAGAGTTTATGAATTTAAGTACAGTACTAAATTGATGACAAGGACTAGTCATTTACAGTTGAAATGGCGAGATATAACCGTAAGTTCTATGCTAACAGTTTCCTCTCTCGAAATTCTCGCACTTGTGAAATACTCTTCTTTGCTCTCAGTGAGCAAAATAAAGGGTTCTGTTCGACATTCCAACAACCTGAAGAAGGACGGAGCGTACAACGGCCGAAACGTTGGGATAAATATGGCAACAAAGATGAGGACAATAGTCCGAATCATATAAATAGTGTACATAATACCTCATCTCAGAAATATAGACAGACTTCTTAGTGTGTTTCAAATTATTCCCATTAAGAATTTACATTTTGTCTCGGCATTCCTTTTTTCCGGAATACCATTAGTTGCCACTTCTCATTCGTTCACCGTAATCGTGTCCACGGCATTTCAACAGCGCTTTTAGTTTTGGGAAAAGCCAAGAGTAGCAGGGAACAAAATCTTGAGTTTAGTGGATGGACACACCAACGTTGGAGTGGACGTTTTGCCAAAAAAGAAAAAAATACACAAGAGATCGTTAAAATTGATAGAGTCACACAGCGCACGAACTTAATGGCGTCTCTCCTGCCGACTGAGTAACCTCACATGAAGGTGTATAGTCATACCAGCACAGTAAGGTCCATTCTTATTTGTGGCCGCGTCACATCAAAGCTGCGCGATCAGTTTTCGAAATGTTCAAATCGTCTAGATCCTTATCGGATAGATCTCGAATCTGTAAGTACAAAATTGCCAACGCCCGCAAAACTAAAACTTTTTTTGCAATGATTTGTCACTTTCAATTTTCTGCTAATATATACTCATTGAAAAAAGATATATGCTTTACTGATATTGAAATTTGAACATATTTCTGCATACAATATGAAAAAGCAAACAAACAGTAAACAGACTCCTCAATTTTATATTCAAGAAAATACCTAAGATTTTCGTATTTATTTCTCGATCCAACTTAGATTAACTGCTGAATCCGTATTACCGATTTACCAGTCGAATGCACCGTCATCTAATGATCCTAATACCGATAAACCAGTTGGAGAATATGCGAAACTTTTAGTCAGTAACATAGCTTAAAATACTCTATTCACTGGTGTAGAATCGGGGGCGAAATTGTAAGTTAAATTTCATTTGCTTCCTACCAGCTTTTCTGAAGAAGAGATATTATTCAACAGTTCTGTTTCTCGATAGAAAATTCGATATAAAGTGGGAGCTCAATGAATAAAAAGCTGCCCTAGGAAGATGGTGGGTCTTCTTTTTGTATGGGCCGTGTCGCTTCAGGACGTGGCCGAATGTAAGGCTGATCAATTTAACGACGTAACAATACAATATAAGTTTCGTTACAGGATAGAACTTGAATCGATAGGTAGACACAGGTCCGGTTTTCATTAGAGTCAAAAAAGTAGACACAGGTGAGATATACACATAATGGTAGACATAGAGGTTAAGAGTCATAATAGGTAGACAGGTAAGGTCCGGTTTAGGTCATTAGATTAACACGTCAGTCATAATAGGTAGACATAGGTAAGATTAACACGTCAGTCATAATAGGTAGACATAGGTAAGATTAACACGTCAGTCATAATAGGTAGACATAGGTAAGATTAACACGTCAGTCATAATAGGTAGATAAGATGGTCATAATAGGTAGACATAGGTAAGATTAACACGTCAGTCATAATAGGTAGACATAGGTAAGATTAACACGTCAGTCAGGTAGACATAAAGATTAGACATAGGTAGAAGATTAACACGTCAGTCATAAAAAGTAGACATAGGTAAGATTAACACGTCAGTCATAAAAGTAGACATAGGTAAGATTAACACGTCAGTCATAATAGGTAGACATAGGTAAGATTAACACGTCAGTCATAATAGGTAGACATAGGTAAGATTAACACGTCAGTCATAATAGGTAGACATAGGTAAGATTAACACGTCAGTCATAAAAGTAGACAAAGATGAAGTATACAAGAGAGTCATAAAAGGTAGACACAGGTTCGTTTTACATTACAGTTATCTTGTGTTGTCGGCGTATTATAAGCTTCACCGCCAGTATATTATTAAGAAAGAAGTAGCTCGTGCAACCCAAATAGGAAAACGTCCTAGTTATCACGATAAACTACATCCGCGTCCTGGGTAAGACGATAAACTACATCCAACAGCAATGCCTCTGATCAGGAGGTTTTTAGGAGCGTGGAACCACCTCTTAATTGCTGGTGTTCCCAGGTCCACCCTGAGCCGGGGTGGTAGCACCTCTCAGGTCCCAGCTACGGGAAAATTGTTACCCCCCCTCAAAAAAAAAAGGAGGGCAAAACACTAGGAAAGTTTAAAGATAGATTTTATTACCATTCTGGAAGAATTTTTACCAGCGATACATTTTTGAAAAAAAAAAAAAAAATTCAGCAATACATTTTAAAAAAATATTACCAGCAATAAAAATCTTGTCGGCATTAAATAACCCATTGAGGTGTTGATATGCCGTAAAACAAAACAAACCAAATGGGAAAACGTTCTCAATTTATGATTGATAAAGCTCTTTAACCCTGTCGGACTGATCAAACAACTTTATCAGAAAACTACAGATCACAGCTGAGATGGGATGAACCTCACCCAACCGAAACATCTGAGATCGAAGAGGATATCAAATCAGATAAGTAATAAAGTATAAATTCACAAGTGTTATCAAATTATTTGGTAAGAGAAAAGACAATATTGGTGAAAAATCTTCAAGACGCCGTTGATCGTCAAAGATTTGAAAAAATGCAAACAACTGAATTGCTTATTTGGTCCATTCTAATCTCTCTTCGTCTTTTGGGTTCTGTTCGTTCATTCCATTTTTAAATGATTAAATGCTTACGGATATAATTACATGAAAATTTAACATCTTAACTCTTGTCTTAGGAGACCAAGTATTCAGATTTTAGCACATGTTTTAGGCGGGCACTTTAAATGTGAAGTATTTATTTTCAAGAATTAACAATTATTACACAATCGATTTCTTAATTATTTTAGACCGAGAGAGGAATCCACGAGTCTGTAATGGATGCAATACAGACAACTTCAGAAACCCCAGAATTGCAGATAAAAGTGTTTTTGCCTACTTAAAAACAGAAACCATACATGTTAGTATTCAACGTAAACAAAGTTCATATTTTGAGTCGAAGAATCTAGTGGCGGTCTGGATCCCTTGGTGTTTATACAGACAGCAAACCATTGTAATGTTAATTGTCGACGTTTAGGTAGAGCTTCAAACAGGACATACGGACAGATTTTGTGTCTTTTAGAGCAAAGAAAAAAATCTGCGGGAAAAAATACGGAAGAAGTAAATTCTATTAATCTTCCAGAAACAAACAATTTTGTTTATTTTTAGCGCGAGAAGATTTCCACGAAGCATTTTATTCCATTAACAGTTTTTGATGAGTTCCCTGAAGCAGATGTCTTGAAATGAAAGACAAAATCGCGCTGAAAATATGGCATTCTACAAGTTGGGAGAGGAAAAAAATACAAGACTCCTTCTCAGTATAAGGACACACACACACATATATATATATATATATATATATATATATACACGCATGCATTAAGAGAAACAGAAATAGATACAAGGTGTCACGTATAATATATGTAAATATATGATGACAGACATATTGAATTTGATGCATGCAATAACTAAAATTAAGGTATATTTATATACACACACAGTGAGTCAAATACTGATAAGACACGCTATGTATATATAGATAAATTATGTAAGATAAAAAACTATACATATACGCACGTAAAATTGCAGGTACTTATAAATGTATTTCTTCCACAGGTGTTATAAATACAGTGCTCAATGTTATGAGACAGAGCTATAAGTATATATACATAATATCCAACGTCGATAGCACGACTCAGAGTTTCATGCAGTTACTGACATCCTCAGGTGTAAATACCTGTAGATTACAGCAGCCACATGAAACACCGAGTCGTGCCATAGACGTTGGATAACGATATATAATTTTGAAAAAATTTATATATCAACAAACAGTATTTAGAAAAATATGACAAAAATGATGGAGAGAAAAAGAAAAGAAGACGGATAATTTCGGCTAGACTGAAAAAAAAAATTCTCTCAAAAATTTCGAAACTACCTGCGTCTCTCATTTCGTGCACATGTGTAGACGTGGCAACCTCAGCAAAGCCCAGTCCGATGAAATCTTAAATCTTTTTATATATATATATATATATATATATATAATTTCTGTCTTTATATATATATATATAATTTCTCTCTCTCTATCTATATATATATATATATATATATATATATATATATATATATATATTATATGTTATATATATCTTTTTTAATTAAATAAATTTTATGTTTAACGTTCTTTTTTTAATAAATAAATTGTCGGACTTTTGTCCATTTCTTATATATATATATATATAATGTCTATCTCTCTCTATATATACATATATATAATTTCTATCTCTCTCTCTCTCTATATATATATATATATATAAAATTAATTTCTTCTGGCGTAGAGCTTGAAAATCTTATTAAAGAAACCGTGCCAATCGACAGGAATCGATCTTCTATTTCCTTTTTAATCCGAAATCTATCCTCAAGTCAGTCTTACAAGATGCCATTTCTTTAAAGCGGAGTTCGATTACCACACACACACACACATATATATATATATATATATATATATATATATATATGATCTCAACTTGCAATAAATACTCACCAGCTATCCATATCACCAATATTCGTAAAACCTATACTTAATCAATGTAAAATCCAAACATTTGAAGTTCGTTCAAGTCTACTATTACCCTTTCATGTTTAACCTTCTTCATACTTTCAAATCATTGAAATGCATGAATATACACAATTCTAACTTAAATTACACTAACCTTTTCATGAAGACAACATGAGCTCAGACAACATGAGTTATGCACATGAAGTCCATAACACCAAAGGAAACAAAACAAAACAATTTAAAAATTGAATCATAGCTCTTACTTATTTAATCCCACACAGACACACACGTATATTCTATATTAAGAAAAACAGGAACAGGTATATGTATACACTGGCATATCACTCATACAGTGGCGAAGCTAGAGTGTGTGCTGCCCGGAACAGCTCTCGAGTTTGACGCCTCTCCTGTCCCCACAAAAATAAATATTGCACAATGTCTCACTTTTAAAGTTATAAAACTTTTAAAGTTATAAAACTAGTTTGTGTACCAATATTACTTTCACATAGTCAAATATAGTATGCTTTAAATACACACCAAATATTCCTCCAAAGTAGCTTTTCTTGCTTTTTTGTAGGCAAATTCTTTAATGACATCGTCAAAAACTATTTCACCTGTCAATTGTCCCTCTATAGACAGTAGATAGGCCATTATATATGCCATAGTTTGAGTTACACGAAATCGAAAAGATCCTTCAACTAGCTACTGACCCGACATAATTTAAATACAAATTATACAAGCTTATAGCCTACAGCAGACACAAAATCGCCCCCGAGGCGGACTGCAGTCGTAACTTTATATTTGCAACAGTCTGCTGTGGACGTGTCTAAAGTGTCAATTTATCTAGACATGAATTAATAACCCACCTACCTCCAACCTTATTTTTCATTTTTTTCTATTTCAGCTTTGATCCGACTTTTGATTGGTTAATCAAGAGATGCGCACAAATATGTTTTTCAATGTTAAAATTTTGTTTTTCCCCGTTCTTTTTTAACTCCCAAATGAATTGCTTTCTGATTTCTTAAGTAAATAATTTTCATCATTTATCTAACATCGCCTGATGAGGGACAATTTTAACGTTTCGAAACATGGAAATTTTTGTGTAGCGATGTAAAATATTATAATAATATTTTGCTCTTCGTTATACTGAGCACTTTTTTATAATAATAAAAAAGTAAATGCTAAGAACTGTAGATTCTTAAGCTGCCTCTTCTTTATATATATATATATGCACAAAATGTTTACTTATGTACACTCGAAGACACAATTATATAGATATTTACATAAATACCATTGCATACACGAGAGAGAGAGAGAGAGAGAGAGAGAGAGGGAGGGAGAGAATGCCTCCACAAAGTCCAGAGGACGAGGTAAGTAGACAACATTTCTGGATTTGCGTCCTTGCAATTGTCTGTCGTGAGCACAATACGCTAGATCAAACGATTTTGTTAAATGCTGTTACATTTAAAAAGAAGAGAATGTAGCTAGCAGAAATAGTGACGACTGTATTGGGTGGCTATGATGGGGATTGAAGAAAAACAAGAACCATATTTTATCAGGACTCAGGACATCAAAAAGGCACCTCTCTCTGCAGTGAAGTATTTTTGTTGTTCATTGTTTAGCACCCCCTTCTTGGAAGTAACGGTAGGAGTGGGGAAGGGTGCACTGAGGAACGGGAGAAACGAAAGAGCGGAATGGCACAAAAAGGTGGAAATTTGTCATCTTAGAGAAACTGTGTCACAATTGATTACCTTGTCTTCACTTCAGCGCTAATCATAGTTTCGAAAGTAAAGACGATCGCATGAAGTGGTGAGGGGGTGAGAGAGAGAGAGAGAGAGAGAGGTCAAATTACACGGGATGTAACAGTAAACGGGGTACTCATTCGTCATTCTTTCGTTATCCCTGAAAAAGAGAAAGATTGAGAGAAAAAGAAAAAAATGGGTGAAAAAAAAAGAAAAAGAAAAGAAAAAAGAAATCGAATATGAGTGAAAAAAAAAGAAAGAAACGAAAGAGATAGAGAAAGCGTAAAATAGTGAGACAGACGGAGAGTGGGATAAAGAAAGAGATAAATAGAACTTGATAGAAAAAGAAAAAATGGGTAAAAAGAGAAAGAGAAGATAGAGGAAAAAGAAAGAAAGAAACGAGAGAGATAAAGAGTAGAAGAGAAAGAGAGAGAAATAGAGACATAGAACAGACGAGAAAATTGAAGGTAAAAGAAAAGATGGGGAGAGAAAATTGAAAGCGAAGATAGTGGAAAAGAGCAAGAGAGAAATTAGAGAGATAAAGAAAACGAGAGTGCTAGGGAAAGAAAGAAAGAGAGAGAGAGAGAGAGAGAAAATGGAGGCAGAAAGAGAAAGAGAGATACAAGAGAAAGAAAGAAGGAGAAGGAAAGAGGGGAAAAAGAAAGTGACAAAAAAGAGAAAGACGGAGAGAGAAAACAAAAACGGGAGTCAAAGTGAGTGGGGGGGGAGAAAAAGAGACAGAAAATGCGGAACAAAATCTAGAAAGGATGAGATGAAAAAGAACTAGAAGAAAAAGAAAAGGAGATTGAGAGAGTAGGAGAAAAAATATAGAAAAGAAACAAAAGAATGAGTGAGAGAAACGGAAAAGAGAGAGTAACGGTAGAATGGGGGGGTAGAAAAAGAGAAAGATTACGAGAGAAATAAGAAGATGAAAAGACAGATCAAGAGAGGAGTAAGCGACGAACAGGAAAGGTGAGGTATAATGCCTGTAAAGCGTTCCATTACAAGTGGTTTAACGTGATATGACACCGGAGAAGCAAACGCATCATCTGGTGACGTATCGATTGAGTGGTACGCATATTCTGAGAACAAACAAGTTTGTCGTTCTCGGTTTGGGAGTAATTTGATTTTGAATAGTGCATTGCGTGGTGATGGTGATTGGCGGTGGGGGCTAGAAGGAGTGGGTGCCCAGGAGAAGGTGGCTGCGGGTGAAGGAGTGCCGTAGAAATCATGATAGTAAAGTATGTTGCAATGAACAGAGGAGACAAACAACGAGGAATAGTAATCAATGGCAAGAGTAACGAGGTAAACAGACAAATCAAGAAAGACGGAAACTTGCAGATGAAAGAGACAAGGGAAAATCTACCACATAAAACTTATCGATGAAGGTAAAGATATCGCGTATACCCGTCTATAATTCGATCACGTGTATAGGTCAACCATTGATTTTCTTTATACCAGAAATCATTAGTTTACGGTAGGAGTGCATTGATACCCCATTCTGACGCTAATCGAACAAAAAATTAGGTGAACAAAGACACTTATATAATTGTATATAAAATACTTCTACGAAACTCTCAGCGACAAAAAAAAAAAAATCCGTCCTACGAACTACAAAATGTAGGTCGATATGCATGAAACTGTAACCCTCAAATACAAAATGTTTAACACGACTTATCATGCACCTTTCCACAGAAACCTGCGAGCTTGCCGTAAGGATATCCGAGATTTCTACTCACGAATCTATTAAGATAAAATCTATTCTCTAAAAATACTCACAAAACGTGACCTTATATATATATATATATATATATATATATATATATATATATATATATATCAGTCAGGCAACCTGACGTCCCTTTTTAATAATAAAATAACAGTGCCCATTACTCAACACCAATAAACGATGTTGCAATAACTACGGAATATCTAATTAATAAGTAGGAAGATCAGGCTGCTGATACATTAACTTTTATTTCTTTTGTTTCGCGTTAACTTTCTTAAGATCTATTTAGTTTTAACGACTTAAAAAGCAGAATTATTTCTTATATGTGACAACAGAGGTTTACACAGATGAAGATCAAAGATTATTCACACCGATAATAAAACTAATGGAATTCAAAAATTACTTAAATATTGTTGTTATTTTTTATGGTATTATCGTAATTCTGTTGGGAGTAAAGTGCCATGTTTTTTGATTGGTCGTTCATGTTGCAATGAGAGATCAAGATAAATCTCAATAAACAATATCGGTGATCAAACGACAGATAAATAAACAGTGGCAGTTCACAACACCTGATAAATCAATAATGTCAGTACTCAAACGACAGATAAATAAACAGTAGCAGTTCACAACGCCCGATAAATAAATAATATCGATGTACAAAACGGAACCTGAATAGATAACGTCAGTCCGCTCTACTAGAAAAGGTAACAAATGATCAAGAAACAATTTCGGCCTGTAATAGCAGATAAATAAAAAAGAGTTGTCAGTTCGCAACACCAGATAATTAAACAAAGTCCATCTACAAACTCTATATAAATAAAAAAGAAATTAAATATGAATTTTGTAGCTGTCATTATAAAATATCAAAACTTCAATAATGACGTCATTTTTGACAGGTTTCCTTTTCCTAATAATATTAATAACAAAACAATGGTGAAAATAATCGTTGGAATTCACTACTTAATCTCGGAAAAATAGGAAGGACGAGAAAACTTTTTGGCAAAATGTAATGGTCGAAACCAAGATAGCAGTATTTGTCTATATTTCTTGAGATGGGGTATTGCAACTACAGGGTGCCTAACAAAGAAAAAAAAATTAAAATTTGGTATAGTTCATTTAATTTTTGGAATTTTCGTTACAGTTATTTGAAACAAAAGCAAAGGATAGAATTTTTTTTTTTAAGAACAGCTACTACAGAATTGGTAAAATTTTCAGGTAAATTGATTTTTAGTTATCGAACTAAAGAACTAAAAAAAATAAATTTTTTCAGTTCCCAAGTTGGATGTTCTGTTTTTTTTTTCTTTAAAGAGAACAATCACTTCGCGTTGAAAATTTCATAGGTGCAGTATCCTGGAACAACAAATGATTAAAAAAATTATATATTAATTAAATTTTTAGTTCTTTCATATAGTATAAAATATACCGTATTTGACGGTGTATATGCCATATGTAGGTTAACTAATTTTACTAATTTTTTTCTTGATTTGTCTTGCTGAAACTGGGGTGCGTCTTATACACTAGTGCGTCTTATATGCTGTCAAATACGTTAGTTATATTTTTATGTTAATTTTTTTTCATCACAGAGTAAATGTAAAATTTCCTGTTTTAATGGGGCACTCTGTATTTACACTATTTACATTGGTCGGACTGTTGTCCTTATCTTTGTTGTCATATTTACGACGTTTCAGCCGTTGTACGGACCGACCTTTTCAGGATCTGTCTATGTTTCTGAGATGAGTTATTGTAATTATTTACACTATTTATATTGTTCGGACTGTTGATCCCATCCTTGTCATATTTACGACTCTTGGCTGGAGTGTCCAACGGCCGAAACGTCGTGAATATGACAAAAAAAAAAAAAAAATGAGGACAACTGTCCAAGTAATGTAAAAAATGCAAAATATGACAGCAGTATCTTATGTAATGCATAGAAAGAATTTGATGATGCATGTTTGCTTGTATCTTGTGATTCATTCGAGACACAAAGCAGATGATTCACTTGACAGATTCCATGTTGGAACCATTAGGATTATTGTTTCTCTGAATGCTGAAAAAGCATGAAGTGGATTGGGGGTGAAAAGTGAAATCTTGTAAGAGAAGAGTAGACAGTGCAACATCTTCTGAAGTTGAAGTCATGTCACGGAAGTAACTACAAGCTCTGTCCCCTAGGTATTCCCACATGCCGCTTCCAAATAAGTGGCGGGAGTTTGGATAATAGATCATGTAACTTAGAAAGTTTACTGATTCCGATGAGAGAGGGTGAGAAAGAGGGATAGAGAGAGAAGGGGAAGAAAGAAGCATACAAAGAAAAAGAAAGAAAGAGAGACAAAGAAAGGGAGAAGGAAAGGGTGTGAAAGGGAAATTTCAGACAATAATATTAGGGAAAGTATTCGTCGTTTTTTCCAAGGTAAGTTACAGATGATTACTATAAAAGGTTAGACCTTTGAAAAAGGTTTTGCCATAAAATTCTAACAAATGTAGATGTATATCGCACAGGCCAGTTGTGGATTCCAGGGAGATTCGAACTAAAGACATTGCAACAGACGCCTACCTTAGAATTTGTTTTTATTTAAATAATTTCACCCCAAGCAAGGCAATAAAGCAAGAAGACATACGAGTTTGAGTGGATAAGAGAAACAAAACAATAAATAGAGAGAGGAAGCAATAAAATAACAGGAATTAAGAAGAGAGAATATAACATTATTTACATAATTTGGACTATTGTCCTCATCTTTGTCGCCATATTTATTAAAACGTTTCGGTCCTTCAGTATCTGTCTATATTTCTGAGATGAGGTATTATGTACATTATTTACATTATTCAGACTATTGTCCTCATCTTTGTCGCCATATTTGTTACAACGTTTCGGCCGTTGTACGCCCCGGCCTTCTTCAGGTGGTTGGAATGTCGAACTGAAACCTTTATTTCGCTCATTGGGGTAGATTGTTCTAGTTCTACGTGCCATGTTTAATAGATGTCAGTTATCAGTTATCTCCTATTAATTTCCCTCTGAAAGTTCTCCACTGCCTTAAACGGATATTGAACTCACACTCTTTGGGTCCTGTCACTTGATCTAACTAACGCATTTGTCCTTGAGGACACCTGTCACAGTGGATAAAGGCGTTGGTTAGATCCAGTGACAGGACCCAAAGAGTGTGAGTTCAATACCCGGCTAAGGCAGTGGAGAACTCGGAGAGGGAAATTAACAGGAGATAACTGATAACTGACATCCATTAAACATGGCACGTGGAACTTACGGTCACATCTAGCCATTTCGACTGTAAAATGATGAGACCTTGCCGCCAATCTAGTACTGCGATTAAATTCATAAACTCTAGCTACTATAGCGGAAAGTTCATCAAAATAATTACCATGAAAATATTTATAAAAATGGCAAAGGGGGGGGGACACACAATTGCAGTGGGAAAGTAACTGAAGCCGAGATACCAAGTCAGGATCAATAACATTTTTTGTATTTTATCAAGAATCTCTAAATATATAGCAGGAACACCAGACCAGATGTGGCAGCAATATTCAATACACGAACGAATGGCAGACGTATAAATGTCTAAGACAGACAATGTCAAGAAAGATTGTCCAGCACGACACAGTGAACCAACTTTCCTAACAGCAGATCTAGCAGTTCTTGAGTTCGTATCACAGATAAATAAGCACGTCATTCAGTCATTGAATTCTCCACTAGACATAGTAAAGGCAAGTGTGAATCGCTTCCTATATTACCTTAAACATTACAAAGAAACCATTTGAAATTACCAAAAACTGTGAGACTAGTAATTAAAAGTATTTTATAAAAATAAGTTATTTTCTTGTATTTTCCGTAATATATAAAAACAAATTTTACATTTGACACTATATTAGGTTGAGTCATAAATAATTTCCGTTTTTGGTTGTCAGTTTTGTTTTTAAAAAAATAAAGTAGATTTTATTTAATTATATATTCGCCATTATTTGCAATGATGTTGCCACTTATCAGGCGAATCTTCGGTACATTTTGAGTAAAACTCCGCAGATTTTGCTATGAAAATATTTTCGAAGAATTCTTGAATCTGGTTTCCATTAAACACAGTTTTCCCCATCAAAGCGTTTTGCAGCGACCGAAAAACGTAATATTCGTTTGGTGCAAGGTCAAGTGAATTGGGCGGATGCGGGTAGAACAGACCGACCGAGTTCCACAATTGTTTCCTGTGTTATTCTTGCCGTGTGTCGCCTTGGGTTGTCATGGAGGAGGACACCATTTTCCTTTAATCCACTGTGTACGCTGCCATGTATGATTTGTAGTTAGGATGTTACATTCGTTATTACAATTGGGTAACCCCCACCACCACCACCAAAAAAGGGAAATTACTTATGACTTAACCTAATGTTTGTTTCATGCAAGTTTTTGCTTGACTATTTTAAACCTATTGAATATTTCTTAGTTCTGTCGATCGAACGAAGAATCCAGAGATTGAAGGAGAAAAGACACTTGTTCCTTTCAAATAA